GATGAGTAATAAAAAAAAAAAAACTCAGGGTGTTTGTCTGTTGCAAGAGAACTGCAGGGGACCTATCTACAATTAACCATTCTCGCATTCCCTTTCGTGGAATTTGTTAATCTGAAGGTGCTGCTGCTAATAGAGCTGCAGTTTCCTATCAATAAAAAAAAGGGTCTGTAATATTTGCTTTTGGGAGTAGGGAGATGCTGTTGCTTGTTGTAACCATTTCACTTGAGTTATGCTGGCGGTGGTATTTATCTTTTGAGTGCGGAAATTTTGTATTTTCTCATTTCTAATGTATCAGTCTCTTTAATTTCTTGTTCTTTTTCTCCCCCAATTAAAAATCTGCCTTCAATCTGGGTAGCAATGTAAGTCTAGCTCAGTTTTATCAGTGCGTCAGAATATTGATGCAGACCTGCAATTTTGTACGCTACCGTCTGAAATGAGTTTTTCCCGATATTATAACGGATTGCATTAGAGTTGTAGATAACAAATTGAAATCCTGAAATTTGTACTGATTTGATGATAGATAGTATTTAGAGACAAAAAAGCTAAATTGGCGAGAATCACTGAATAGTGAACCCAGGTTTGTCTCTGGTTACAATTCTATTACATTCCAAACTATGCTCATCGACAAACTAATCTTGGAAGGAATTCTATAAAGTATCAAAATAATACAAGATTTGTAATAAAAGTAGCTCTGTCGAGAGTTCGTTGACGATGGCTGTAGTATTCCCTAGATTCTCATCATCCTGGAGAGAACAACATGAAAAAGTTCATAAAACAAAAGTTTCAATAACCCATAAGAAACATAGAAACAGATTATTAATAAAAAGAGAAGACAAAATTTTAGAACGAACCATGACGGAGAGAGAGAGAAAAGGAGGGAGGAGATTGTGAGGATGGGGAAAAATTTGTGGGTTAGGGCCTGTTTGTTTCGCATAAATTTGAGCTGAAAGTGAAGGAAAAGCCCATTTTGAAAACTGACGTCGAAAATTTTGTTAGTTTTTTTCATTTACGGATGTTTGTTTCGTTTTGAGCGGCGAAAGAAAAGGGAGCTGAAAGTGGTGATTTGCGGAAAGTTCCTTTCCGTTCCCAAAACGTCGATTTTGGTGGAAAGTGATCAAAGCTCGTTTTTCCCCCCTCTCCTTTCACCCTAGGGTTCTGATCACCGTGCCGTTCCTTCCCTCCATTTTCTCCCGCCACCTGCTCTCGCTTCCCCCCCGATTTTCCACATCAACTTCGCACGGCTTTTTGCTCCTCCAGCTCTCGTTCTCACTTCTTGATGCCATTCTCTTGTGCAAGCGAGCTCGATCTTCCTCCGTTTTGATCTCTTGCGATCTTGAGATCGTTGTTCTTGAGATCTTGCGGTTGATTTGGGGATTTGAAAGGAGATCGCTGTTCTTGAGAGCTGGCGGTTGATTTGGGGATTTTGAAAGGTCGCTGTTCTTGATCTTGCGGTTGATTTGGGGATTTGAAAGAAGGTCGCTGTTCTTGAGATCTTGCGCGCTACTCAGGTAAAAAAACCCTAAACGCTTTATATTTTTGAGATCTTCAGCTCTTGCTCCGATTTGAGCACAGTTTTTCTCCGATTTTGAGCTCTGACATGTGGATTTTCATGGTCTGTTTGAGCTTTGATTTGTTTGAGCTCCGATTTTGGGCATTAATTTTATGTAGCTTAATATATATGCTCTGGTTGCTTGCCTCAACTATTGATCTGAGTTCATGCTAACATGAATATTAGTAGCAATTTCATTTTGGTCTTTGCGTAAAAACAAATTAGTAATTGATGAAGATCGATTTTCATGAATGAAGGGCACAGTTTGCAAAATTTACCATGGTTAAACAACCTCGTGTTATAAAATTTAAGAATATTAGTAGCAATTTCGTGGTCTGTTTGGCTACGTTATAAATTTTTCCATGCAAATTTATCATGAATGAAGGGCACAATTTGTGTAAAAAGAAATTAGTATAGTCGAAAAACATTTTATTTCTTTGAATGATGGGAAATGAATCAATTTTTATGGTTAGAAACTCCTTGTCTGCATTCAATTAGTTGATAGGTTCATAGTTATGGACTTTCTTGTCCTTGAGCATGGCTTTGGGTTTTGATGAACTGAATACGAACTAAGAAACAAATTGAAAAATTAATTTGAAGGCAAACATTAAATGTGATGACAAACAATAAGCTTTAAGTGTGTAAAATCTCTGATAGCTCATTTGAGTGACTTATTAATGACATTCTTCTCTATATGTACACATATTATAGTTACCATTCTTCTTGGCCTAGGGATAAGAAGAGAAAAATATGTATTTTTAATTGTGGGTCATGGACCAGGCTTGAAGTCATCATAACCTAGGGATAAGAAGAGAAAAATATGTATTTTTAATTGTGGGTCATGGACCAGGCTTGAAGTCATCATATTGAACAATGTGACCTGATTTTGTCTGCATTAGTTTCCAAATATATTTTTAAACCCAAGTCTAATAGCATTGTCTTTTCATTTTGCAAATAGGACCTTAGCAATATAATTAGACAACCATCTTCGTTTACTGTTACTATCTGCTTTAATATGACGTTTGTATTTTAGATGGATGGTGATCTCGATGAAGAAACCATAGTTAATATGTGTTCGATTGCTGTACTATCTGTCTTGGTTATGGTTATGACATTCATGAGGAGAATGCAAAGTAGACGTAGATCTATACGTGCAGGTCCTAGTGAAGAGAAAATAATACAATATCAAAATAGAAAACAACACCTGGATCGCATATATAATGAATTTAGTGATAGTTGTGTCAACTATGTTAGAATGCGAAGTGGTGCTTTTATGAAGCTTGCAGAGATATTGAGGAGTAACGATTTATTGCGAGACTCAAGACATGTTACAGTGGAGGAGCAACTTGCTATGACTTTGAATATTTTGGGGCATAAAACTAAAAATCGAAGTATTAGGTCACATTTTATTAGATCTGACGAGACTGTGAGTAGGTATTTCAACAAAGTGTTAGAAGCTATTTGCCACATACGACCACGCTTTTTAAGACAAGCACGAAATGAAGTTCCACAGGAGATCCTTAGCAACCCTCTATACTATCCTTATTTCAAGGTATTCTCTCTTTAATTTGTGATTAAAAGCATGTTCATTTAATTTAAAAAAGATTCAATTGTAATTTTTTGTTTCTAGGATTGTATTGGTATGATAGATGGTACACATGTTGATGCTACGCTACCTGCTAGTCTTCAACCACGATTCCGTGGTCGAAAAGGTGTTACACAAAATGTTTTAGCGGCTTGTACTCCAAACAAGTTATTCACTTACGTATTAGCTGGATGGGAAGGTTCTGCAAATGACTTTAGAGTCCTCAAAGATGCATTGTCTAGGCCACAACCTCATGGCTTGAAAGTATACGATGGTAATTTTATCAAATCTTAAATTTTAAGTAATTACTTTAATTAATATTGGTTTATTCGATGAATTGACAAAAAAAATCTACTAAACATTTTCACATCATGCATTTGTAGGAAAGTATTACTTGTGTGATGCGGGATACACGACCATGCCGGGTTTTATCTCCCCATATCGTGGTGTCCGTTACCATTTGAAGGAACAAATAGGAAGAACACCTAAAAATAGAAGGGAATTATTCAATCTTAGACATTCTTCTTTAAGGTCTAAGATTGAATCTACATTTGGTTGCTTGAAGAATTGTTTCAAAATTCTCACCGCGAAACCTCATTACCCTTTTCGCGCGCAAGTGGATATTGTATTAGCTTGTGCAGTTCTTCACAATTATATTGCAATGGTTGACCCGGATGATGACATATTCAATGAGACCGTTGAGATCGAAGATGATGAAGGTGATGTTGCTAATGAAGATGATAATAATATTGTTGATTTCTCTCAACCCCAAACTCAAAGGGAGCAAACACAATCAAGAAACATATGGAAGAATCGTAGAGATCAAATAGCTTGGAAAATGTGGGTTGATTATTGTGATAAGTATAAGGGAGGGAATACTAATAAAATAGGCATGTGATGCAATATGATAGTGATGTTGTCTCATGTTTTAAATTATTCTATTTTCATGTACTTCATATTATGGTAGCGTGTGTAAAACTATAGAATGTTAATTGGCGAAACATTTGTATGCTACTATTATGTGTTGTATGTAATTCTCTTAGGACACACTTTATTTACGCAACTTACGTATATTTTTCGTATTTCTCTATAACTATTTTCTAGGTATGGCCGACAACTTCAATTGTGAGGAACTTGATAAGGTCAAAGGCAAGAGTACGACATCTAATTCATCGCCTAGAACCCCAAGGAATTCATCAATCCCTCGTGGGTTTAACCCGGGCTTTATGCCTTATCACTCTTCACAAGTTGGCGAAGGTCCTAATTTTTGGAATAATTTTCAAATGCAAGATGCTAACTTTTGGGGAATTGGCCAACAACCATCAATGTCATTCATGAACATGCTAAATGCTCCTCCAAGTTTACAACGTCAAAGTTATAGCATGGGTGAAACTTCGTCACCTAATCAACAATGTCAAAGCAACAAGAGGAGTGCTATTGATATTGATGGTGATGAAAGTTCATCCCCTAATCCAAAGAGGAAAAAGAAAGTTATTGCTCATAAATCCCAAAAGAAAGAGGCTTGCAAGGGTAGAGTTAACACATTATGAGAGAGTAAACATGATGATTTGTTAATTCCTTTCCTTGCAAAATGTGCTAAAGATGGAATGAAGGCGGATAAGAAGTTCAAAAAAACCGCTTATCATAGCGCCGCCTTTCATGTAAATGAACAATTATGTTCAACGTTCACTACCGAGAATGTGAAAAATCGTATGAGAACTATTCGCAATAGATTCTTGGACATGCAAAAATATCGTAACTTGAGTGGTGCCGGTTGGGATGATGCAAAGAAGATGGTGATTATGGATGAAGCTTGCTTTGATAGATGGCTAGAGGTATTTGCAATTTTC